GCATAAAAGACCTTTATGGCAGGACAGCTAGAAAAAAAAAACTGTTTAAATGCTAGAAACTGTAGCTGTAACAGAGAAATTACAATTGGCGAAAACATCATTAACATATCAAAGCCTCACATGACCGTAAACTCTAAGTTGGACATGGGACTCTGATCAGTGGATCTTAATTAAAAAATCTTAGTGAGGAAGAAGAGCAACAGTTTCATCTATGAAGTAGATTAAACTAAAGGGCTGGAATGAAAATGGTGTTAAATCCATCCTCTTCTACTCCTCAAAGGCGAAGGAGTTGTCAAAGCTGCAATCGCCAATCCAGATGCACAGTCATCCAATTTCAGTCCTTTGTGGGTTGCCAATTAGCACTCTACTTTCAGTACATCAAAAGGAAGGGTTGAGTTTAAGCGAATGCATAACTGAAATGGAGCAAAGACGAAGCCTCTTTGAACAGTGATGGTTGGTTATCTGCATGCAGGTTCCTGATATTCATGGAGATGTTGTTGCCTAAAAAGTCCTGGGAGGCTTAGCGGCATAGAAATGTGAGCTCAGAGCTGCCAAGAAGTGCTCAGGGGGAAAACTACTCAAGTCAAGTGTTTTTTTTTTCTCTTTTTACTGGGATTCAATAGAAAATACACTAGCACTTAATCACTAATTAACTCTCTAATCAGAAAAAGCCAACAACCCTTTCAAAACTTCTCTTTTTAAGATTAACTACATCTCAAACACAGCTTTTTTGTCTTGCAAGGTGTGACAGTTTGAACCAAATCACACACTCTGAAGTGGCCTTATTGATTTTTGTCTCACCTTTCATTTTTATTGACTGCCATCTGTGGTGGCTTCCTGTTTTATAATCTGGTTTCAGGGTTAACGTGCCCATCATCACATTAAGAGTGTGATTTTCACAACATGTACAGTATGTCCTGCAGAGGGATAAAAGCCTAGGAGATGGATTGGGCCACAGGGGTTAGAAATTTGGTTCAACTACATCGGACATTTACTGCAGCACAGCACAGTTATAACGCCTGGTGAAGGTTAAATATTCCTTGAACTTTCAGCATTTTTCTCATAACAAACACAACCTTCAATTTTCTTAAGATCTTTATTGGAAAATAGAAGGAAGATGATTCATGATTTTATTTTTCACCACAAAAAGAAGAGCTGAAAAGTGTGCCATATATTTGTGTTCATTATTGTTCTAAATCATGAATATTTTGATACTTCACTTAAACAGACCGTGTGGCAATATGTTCAAGCTTATGGTTTGTTGGAAGATGCATGTCCTTCAAGATTTCACCTTTTCCTTAAAGTAAAGTATGATTTTAACTTTAATCATCTTCCCAGCAACCTACACCAGAGGTGGACTGCTGTCTCTTGGTAAGTTTTCAGGTTACACATCAAATAGGGGTTTGGAGAAAATGTATTTACAGATATATTGTGATTTTTGGCTGCCCAATATAATACCGATCTTTCAGTTCCCACTACTGGTTTAACAAAAATGCATTTAATCTAAAACAATGAGGGGAAATGGGCTACCTCTACACCGCCACTGTGGCAGATAGCACCGTGTGCTGCAGCACCATTTCTGTGGTTGAGGTAGTCACAGTAGGAGACCTGGAACTGCTCGAACCCCAAACAGTATAGATTCTGATTCTATTATACAGCACCTGCTTTTTTATATACATTTAATTTTAATAGCTCTGTAAAATGTTGTATAGTAGTATGTAGTGACCCAAGTATTGTGACACGTATCGTATCGCAACATACATGCCAATACTGACCCCTAATATCAGACATTAATATGAGATGTTTAAGCTTAAGATATTCCTATATATCATATATCATTGACCTCAAACTGATTTAAAATGTTCTACAACTTTATCTCTGACGCTAGATTTTTCTTTAATCATCATCATATCATTTGATGAGCAGAGCTTTCTGACAAACCACAAAGAGCTTCACCATACAGCTGTGTTACTTGTGAGGTTAAATGATTACTTCTATTTGCTTGTCAGGTCAATTCTGATGGTAATTGGTTGCCTACATCATTTTCTATGGCCAATTAAGGCATTAAAAAACACATTTTCATCCGTTTTCGTCAGACACAGATTCTATTTAAAATCATCCAAATTGCTATTTGTCATATGACAAAATGTGAAAAGATTTAAGGGATGTCAATGTGCATTTGGGTCTTTTTATACCACAGACCAGGCCAAAAAGGTAAGGAAATATCTGACTTGAGATCTTCCATATGATACAAATCATTTTACTACAAAGCTTGCCACAGGGGAACATTAAGGAGCCGACTTTGGTTTTCCTTTATCTGGAGGATGTTTGTTTTCCCTGGTAACTAATTCTGAAAAAAAAAAATGCCCAGTTTCTGTCTTATGTCATACTGAAAGTACAACTGGGTGGAAATTTAAGATAACAGATGGGGCTCATCAGATAAGCAAAAAGTTGTTTGAAGAAATGACTTCTTAACTGATGTTCAGATGTTTTACCAGTTTCTTTTCCTGCATTACAACTCATCTTATTCAAAGCGACAGTTGCAAAATATGCTCAGGTGTAGATATATTTGTTTAACAACTTGTTGAAACTTGCAGTAGCAGGAAGGCTGCGGTCTGAATGCATTTCCTTTTTTCAAGTTTGTTTCATCGAATGAAAAATTTGATTTTTTGTGTTCTTATGTCTTTGAGAGTTTGACTCTAGATGATGCACACTGAACTTAACCGACTCAAACAGATTCACAATAAAAAATATCTATATCGTTAAGCCAATTCAAGAGATGAGAGTACAGAACACTACCCAGTAGGACCATTTAGTTTAAATAAGATACATAAAATGAGCATTAACTTTGAATTCACACTCTGATATTGATGTTAATTATGTCTCCAGAGGGTTGTGTTGAGAAATAAATCGTAATGATGATGGATCTTCAGGTGCAAAATAGTTTTTAAAGAAAGAGCAGATCTTCAAAGAAGATGTAAAGTGATTTGCATTCAGCAGACTGCAGGTATAAACCTTTTCTTTGCGTTTCTGCCTTCATCAATATGTAGATAATGGGCTAATGACTAAACCACTACAATATATGGGTGAATGATGTGCAGATTTCAACATTTACCAACTGCAAATGGATTAATAATGTAATTATTAGGTTTTATGATTATTATTTTTTAATAATCATTATTACACCCAACTACATGACTTAGAACCTCTTCATTATTGTTGCTGTGCCATTAAACATGCCATCGGTTCATTTTTATGGGGTGGAACAAAACCGCTATGCATGTCTGTGCAATTTAGCCCCCCCCTTAATTTGGATCTTTGAATATTATGCCCATAATGTTTTCTTACCAAACACAGTCAGGTTGACCATGTTCTCCCTGTTGCCTGCTGGAAATGTGGTATACTCGCAGATGTAGGCTGCCTCGTCAGAGAGCTGCAGATTGGAGAACACGATGGTGGTGTCCTCCAGTGATGGGCGATAGCGAACCTCCGCCTGCTTAAAGGCCACCCGCTCCTTGAAAGGCGGCAGGACAGACACACCCAGGGCCGGGTTGGCGATGGCAACGTTCTGCTTGGTGACGTTGACCAGCTTCTGCCAAGTGACCTGGGAGATCTTCACAGGTGGGTTACTATTGACGAAAATGCAGCGCAGCTCCACTTGTGAGCCAACAAAGCCAGACTTGCTGGAGTCCATCTGTACACTCTGTCCATTTGCAGCTGTACAAAGAAAGACATAGACAGAGAGGGGGAAAATTAATTATGATTAACAAGAGTGCAAGGCTAAGCACAAGCTCTTCAGTCAATAGCTAGGACATGCACTGAAAGTCAAAGAGTCAGTTTAGCCTCCTAGGTTCTACATGCATACTCACAGTCCACCTCACAGATAAGGCCAAAAACTCCTTTGTGCTACACATATCTATCCCTACACCTCAGTGGAAAAAGTATGGAACATGCTATTATCATAATGGGTACATCCATACAGCCCTGTCTTTGTCTGCGACGCTCCAGTTTCTGATGAGATGGGCGGGTCGAGTAGGAGCCAATGCATCACTAATGAACAAGTACAAGGGCAGAGAGTTGGAGCCAAGTCATCGAGAGCCGTGCTCCCCTCCATTCCGCACAGCAACACACCGGGTAGCCCATTGTAATTTTAATTACTTTTTGCACACAAATACCTCAGTGATTGCCTGGAGCTCCTATTAAAAGACACAATGTGGAGTCCGTGCAAAAAACAATAAGAAAGCACGCATTAGCTATAATAAAAACCCAACAATCACACACCACTTCCTTTCTGAGTATGTCTGTAGCGAGGTTGGTAGCAAAAAGAAAAACAATTAGTTGGTGAGAATGGATGATTAATCTCATCTGTTCCTTACAACTTATTTCATGCTATCTTTTCTGTTTGTACATTTATATTTTACTTTTATTGCAGCAGCATATTCCCACAACCAAAACACTTCAAAAAAATAAACATACTTTTATTGGCCCCTGTAACAATAGCTATACAACAGATATAACTGAAGCCTTTATGAGTGTGCACTCGTTTTGTTTTATGTGAACTTTTAAACAGGCAATCTTGTTTTTGACAGAAGTTTTTAGGACACAAAGCCCCTTTTCTCATAGCTAACATGAAAAATAGGAAATACATAAACTCTTAAATTAAAGTAAGGTCCACATGATTGTATGCATATCTGAAAACATGTTTTTTTTTCTGTGGTGGATGTAACAACGAAAGCTTGTGTGATGCATACAGTATAATTTACCATGACACGCATCATTTGCTACACACATAGATAAAAAGGATATGATACACTATTGTATACCGTACTAGTTGTGAGATGAAGGATACTGTAATCATTTCTCCCACTGTGATTCCGCCCACAAACTATTTTTGCATTAATGTATTTTCCTTTTTATCAAATTGCATAGTTAACAGCAACTACCCTATGCTGTAACTACAAAGCCCCACTAATAAGTGCTCCCCTTCGGTAACAAATTTATCACAAGATTATTAGTAAGATAGGTCCCTCTTCCTTTTTACTTTAACCATTTTTACATTTTACCTGCTAAGATGAGTAATTATCTATCAGTGCAGACAGAGCATCTGCATAGTGTTGCATTATTGGGTAACTGATTTTACTTTTACATAGTATTTTTGGAATAAGTCTGGAATCTCTTCGCACTTGTGATTAAGTGTAGTTTATTAGTCAACTTTTAAATTTTGATGCAACAAAAGATTTTAATCATTGCAACATGTGATATGTGATGAAAAATTATGCTGTAATTTTTTTATTTTTACGAAGCTATGTATTTCAAACCCTACTTCTGATAACTGTGAGTGTTAAGCTCATGTTTTTGAAAACTTTCAGGGACTAAATTTCCTTCATGTCAATCAAATATTTACTAGGAATAAAACAAGCTTATGGAGTTTGATTAAATGATGTCATTCGTTCAGAAGCAGAATCATCTCTTTTTATCCCAATTAGGGGCTGAAAATCTTAATCTTAAAGATTTCACCTTTGTCTCAACAATGTTGTCCAGTTTTATTTTACAATCTCAGTAAATTCTGAACCTGGACTTTACAGTGAATGGTATCAGAACTGATGTGCCATTGCAGAGCCTCAGCCCCTTGTTGCTTTCAACACATCTTTGTTTTCCCAGGCTCTGATTTATGTCCCTTTCTAGGTGAGAGCTGTTGATGTCCCATATCCTCATCTGACAGCCCCTGGCTGCTGCTCGTATTTACAACCATCCACTGCTATAATTATCTCCTATGGATAGGGAAGGACCCACAGGAAGAATGGATGGAATTTTCTCCGTTAATCACCCCGGACTCATAAAACCGTGAGTCGTGAACTGAGAGAAAATATGTCTCAAGCGAATGAGCCAAGGCCTTAACATACACGCCACAAACTGAGTGGCTCTTTAACAGCGGGTAACGACACCGCAGTGAAGGATAATCGCTAACTTCTGTTTCCACAGGGGGATTTAAAGCGCGTATAAAAGAGATTCATTTCTCCACGATAATATCCGGTTTTGTCAATCTTGAGACAAAACTAAATAATATGAAGCAGAGTGGAGAAGGGGCGTTTTGAGCGTGCAGCATCAAACTATCTCAGAGGCAGCTGCCGTTATGTTAAGATTTTTTGCTTGTAAAAACAGCAGGTAGTCAGCCGAAGGACATTGGGTCACAACTCAAGCACAAAGGAGAGGAAATGATGGAGACACTGGGTGGAAAACTATTAAGATAAACAGAGTTGTTTTTTCTTGTTTTTATACTACCACATTTTACAGTGAGCGTATAACCGTCAGGATGATTTGCTTGTGATGAAGAGCAGTGCATTTTGAGAGGCAATTTCAATCTATTGTTATATACTTTCAGTCAAACCTGCCTTTGCAGCAGACTTCAAATCATATGAAACAAACTGACAACCTTTTGAAGTTGCTGAGAACACATCATCTTTCATTTCCGTCTGAACACATCAGAAAAGGGCTTCTGATGACAGATTGATTCACTAATACAGTTTGACAGAAAGGACTGGCAACCTTGTCATGTGTACCTTCAGAACCACCTGTGTCCTCGAACAGCCCAGGGCAACGCTTTACTCCCATTTGATCATGGGTTAGATTACCAGTTACGCCAACTGTAGTCTGATATTTGCAGAAGCAGCAAACACAAATTACCTTTGGGCGACACTAGTTAAAGTTTAATCTCAAGTTGGAGCGAGGTGGGGGGGGGTAGTCTTATCTCAACAGTTTTTTGCAGCTAAAACACTAACGGCAGACAGAAGCTGCAGCTCCCCTCTCCCAAATATGATGCCATATTTGTTTGTTTCCTCAACTTTTTTGATTACGTTTATGTTTTTTCATCAAAGTTATTTATTTCAGATCGAAAAAATATAAAATAAAAAAAAATACAAGTAAGTATAATGATGATTTTCAAATTATGATTCAAGTTTTTAGGATATATCAGGTTTAAAGAAACCGATTCTAACCCTCCGAGAAAGTTTAAATGATTTCCTAAGTCTTAGGGATCATCAATATTTGTTTTTTCTCTTGTTGTTTGTTTCATTTAGAAGTGTTTTATAGACCCAAAACGATGGTGGCCTTTAATTTCTTGGATTTTAATGTAAAGTTTTTGATTATTTGATGATGAGCGCTTGGAGAAAAATAGGTTGGCCGACAACATGAGATGATCTGGCACTGCTCTATGCTTTCTACATCGGTGTTTGTTTAATGTGGTTTATTTTAGTACCCAAACCTTAGAAATGTATCTTTCAAACCCACATTTCCAACTGATAGATGTCATTGAGTTTCTCTTATATGACTTTTAAATACTTTTGATCCCAGAATAATGTCTAGCTTTTAAAGATCTTTTATTTATGGAATTTTGAGACTGTAGTAACTTGACAAAGTAGCTTTTTTAAATAGGGCATGGCTAATAGACTCCAAAACCCCATTTTGTATTAATTTAGGGTTTTTGGCCTAGTATAATATTTTTGAGCAAGTTTGGCGTTCAAATGAAATATTACTATATATACTATACAATCTTGTTCACTACCATAAATTGAGGTCAAACCAATGTGAACCAAAGAAAGAAGCATAATTGCAAACAGCCACGCAGTCCTAAACCACTTAGTCAAAAACAAGAGAAGCCCACTGAGACCCTCCTCTGAGAATCATGTACTCCGCTGCTAAGAACTCATACACTACAGGAGCAAGAGGTATTAATGTGATAGATTTCTGGAGGCTTTGGGGAACCAGTGGTGCGAGGTGTTGCACTCTGAGAGGAAGATAGGCAAAGTAGCATGGATGCAAAACTGCAGAAAGAAGCACATGGAACAAAGAGAAAGGTGGAGCTTCAGGGAGATTTGTAGGTGAGCTGCAGGTCTGAGCCAGGATGGCATTATCATCTGTGGTGCTGTAGCTTTGTTCTTGCACAGACAAGAGGGTGACTGGGGGGACAGTCATGCTCTAATGCACCTGAGGCAAGATGCTTCACAAAGAGCTGCCAGACGCAAAAATAAAAAACAGGGAGAAAGACAGATAAATAGAGAAATAAGGCCTATCACTGCAAAGAAAATCAACTGGAAAAAAGCAACAAATGTAAAGATATGTTAAACCTGGCAGTATGTAAAAAAAGAGACCTGATTCACACCAGGTGAGCTGACTTGGATCAGAGAGGACATTAGGGGGCACCATTAAAACAGCTGTTGTACCGTCTGGCCCTGTACTGATAGCAACAGACTCCAAAGGTCTCAGCACAGTGCTGAGCACAAAACGTTGAACTGTAATAAAGCCTGGCTTGTCAGGCGGAGAGGGAAAGCATGTGCTTTGTGTTGTTTGCATATGGCACTTTGGGACCTAACAGCTTTCAGCTTTCTTACGGCATGTGGACGAAGTCCAGGAAAATACAGAACGGGAAGGCAGCTTTCACTGGAAGAAGTCCCGATCACAAAAAAAACGCAAAAGCTTGATTGTACTGAAATTAGCCGCTTTCAGATATTTTATAACACTACTGGGAAATGGTGAATAATAAAACAACAGTAATTTCTCTCTGTAACAAATCAAAATGAAAAAGCAATCACATTAACATTTCATATCTGCCTTTTGTTTCTACTGCTTGTGAAAACAAATACACAAAACTCGTTTATCACATTTCTGTCTATATTGTTAACAATAATACTAGGATTGAAAACAAAAATATTAGAAAGCCC